CTCCCCAGGTCAACTCCTGAAGTGAGAGTATTAATCAATTATTTTTGTGTGCGTGCTATGCACACACAATTAACATTTCCAGGAAAGTATTCTGAAGAGCCAATTATTGTTTCTCACTATAATGCAAAGCTACCTTCTGCTTTTATCTCAAATTTACCTTGAACTTGAATTTGAAATAGGAACAGCATCTTTGACATCGGGAAACTTCAATCAAACACACTGAAACAATGGATATTATAAAATATGTTAGCAAGCTATGCATGGGAGTGAATGATCACAGAGACTACAAAAGTATTTTGCAGTTTATGCCACAGATCAGCTACATAGTTATATGTCCAGGAAAGTAACTCATAAGCTCAAAGGGGCAGTGGGTCCTGGAGCACACAAAATTTGGAAATGATTATTACAGACTTGGGCAAGAAGAACCGCACAAGCAATTGAGCCAGGCAGGCAATTTCCAGTTCCAAAAATATGGGAGATACAAAATGGAGATAGACTTGGAGTCATCATTTGATGAGTGCACTAAAGCAGGACATTTGTCTCTGCATTTGTCCTACAACACATTTGAGTTATATGCAGGTAAAGAATAAAATAATGAAACAAAAATAATGAAAATCTCAGTAAAAGGGATAGCTAAAGCACATAGAGAGATGGATATATCCTAGAATATAATTTGCCTTATCTAGCCTTGACTACATACTAGTGTGTGTTTAAAAATAATTCTCCTTAATTACTTTCAGATGTTTAAATTCTTAGCATTAAAAACTCCAGGGCATACTAAAAAAAAAAAAAAAAAAAAGCAGTATATGTTCAAAACTATCCTCCAATCCATCCTTATAATGCCACAGGAAAGCTTCCCTGGCCTCCTGAACTGCCACTTTGCCACCTGGCACAACTATAATGTATGTTTTGTGTTTTCTGATTTTCAAAATCTGGATTAACAAATTTTGGAAGAAAAACATAATCAGGCAGCAGACTAGGTATAAAAACGAAAAGATGAAATATAAAAATGAGAAAGATCAAATAAGGAAAAAGGAAAGGGTTAGCACCATCAGCAAATTGTGTTGACTTGTTATTCATTTCTTTTTCCTCTTTCTTCTTTTCTTCTTTTCTAAGATACCATGAATAAGGGTAGTAAAACAGAAACCTAACTTGCAGACATATGTCATGATACTGCATGACTGGACAATAAAAAGACAGACGAAACTGAACACAGATTTACACTGAATAATGCAAGTGTCGCAAAAAAAACGAAATTTAGATATAAAGTGAGGAGTTCTGAACCATTACTATTACTAAAGGAAAGAGTTTTTAAAGTTACCACAGGTAGTGATGCTACATGTCATAAAAATGACAACTGAGCACCTACTCTCAGTCTAAAGTAACAACACAATAATCCATAATATTAAAAATAAAAAAAGAGAAGAAAATAAAATATTTTAGCATACTGACGGATGAATCTGTGGTGTACTTGGAATGTGTGCAGTTCTGTTCTATCTTTAAGAGGATATAGAACAACAAGAAGAGGTAAAGAGATGAAACACAGGTGATCAACAGTATTAAATGACTTCCACACCAGAAGAAAGTAAACAGTCTTCAACTTGTAAAATACCACAATTAGAAGGGCAAATATGGGAAGAGCTTATAAAATCTTGAGCAGAATGAAGAGTGGAATTGTGAAGTTGTTTCATCCAGGATTAGGAAATAGTACTATGAACCTGAAAGATGACAGGTTCAAAATAAGCAAAGATCTTCACAGTCCGTATTAAATTGTGTAACTCTTTGCCACAAGGTTGTGCAGCACTAAAACATTGCCTAGATTCAAAAAGCAATTTAAAAACTCATAGAATAAAAATCTGTCAAGGGCTATTAAATACAAAGTTATTGCTGTGGCTCCAGAAGTCCTTGGACTGCATTGGAGGGGAGGTTGAGAAAATGTGCACATCCAGTTCTCACCAGCCCTGCATCTCCTCCCTAGAGCTGGGCAGCAACCCAGGCCTCATAAAACCTCAAAGGCCTCCCTGGGAAGAGGGGGAGCAGGCTTTGAGAGAAAGAAAAGTGGGAGAAAACAACTGATTACAGAGGAGAAGAATGAAAAGAAACAGAGGGTTTTAAGGGTCAGAGGATAAAAAGTATAAAATTAGGTGACTAAGTGGCAGACAAAGCAAAGCACCTTGGCTACCAGCCACTGTCAAAGACAACACTGGGCCTGGCAGACATTGCCTGAGCTGTCCCAGCCTTCCTAGGTACCCGTATACATTTAGCATCAAAAACAGCGAACACATTTTAAGGTATGACTCAGGAAAGCAATGTGCCTCTATCAGCACAAGACTAGAGCGTGTGCTCAATTTAACCATAAGGCTCATGGCAGTTAATGATGCTAATGTAAAGTACACATTGCCTCAGTCAGGCACAGCCATTTTACACAGAACTGAAAGACAGGGTCAAACTTGCTGAAAGGCCTCCTGAAAAGACGAAATAGCTGAGAAGTCAGAGCAGCAGAGACCCGGGAGGCCATGGCAGAAAAGGAAACCAAAGGACACGAATCAGCTATATATAAAAATATGGTGAAGAAAAAGCAGAAGTAGCACGTGTGCCTGAAATCCAAGAGAAAGCTGACTTCAAAGGAAGGGGTAATAAACAAATACCCCGTTGGTTCATCCCAAGGGATAAACAAAGTTATAGTCCTCTAATGGCAGTGGAGGGAAAACTGAGGCAGCACAAAATAACTAAGCGGGAGAGTGAGTCCAGTGCTCTGGGATAAAGAAAAAGGCAGAGGATCTGGTAGCAGCAGATAGGGATGTGGGTGGAGGTGCAAGTCTTTCTGTCAATTAGTTTCTCAAGAAGCTAACAAAACATTAAAGCAGGAAGGAGGAGAAAGTTGGGTAGGATGTGGGAGGTACAGTTGCAAAATCATGGCAGATACTGGAAGAGGCAATGTAGAAAAATCAAAACTGAGAGACCCAGTACCTTTCACAACCAAATTCACAACCAGCAGGAACAGTCCCAATGAAGTTTCTTTTTCTCGAAAGGGAAACTATTGATAATGTATCACTGCCTACAGAATATGCAACACTAAGGCTATTCATGAATTCACAAATTTTTCATTCACAACAAAAAAAAACTTTTAAATAAAAACTAAAGTTGCTTTTGAAACCCCAATGAATTTAAAAATAAGTGTTTGTGATTTTTAACTGAAGCAAAAGGGTAGATGCTAGCTGAATGACACCTGCGTAGTGACTCCCAACTATTTTTCTATTGGACTCTTCAGAATTAATTCAAAACTTTAGTTTTTTTTTTTTTTTCAAATTGCCAATGAACTAAAAAATCCTTTATTTAACTTCCTAAATCTGCATATTTTAAACGCATGCTCTTGCAAAAAATATGCTTCAAATCACAGAAATTAACTCTTCCCAAATTGCATGCTATCATGAAGTTGGAAGTATGCTTTAAAAGTCAGAAGAATAACCCTAATTTTGGAATAAAGATGACGACCACAGAAACGCCTTGTGAAATCTCCCTACCAAACAGGGAGCATTTCAGCTTACAGACGTCTTCAGAGCTCTGCACAGCTGAGACTGCAGAGAGGCAAATAGAGAAGGAGAGAGACAAAACTGAAGCAATCGATTGTGTGTAGCCCGCATCCTTGCTCACAAGCAATGTCTCAGAGCGCTCTTCTTTCCAAACCAACAGATAAATAAAATGGGTATTACTTAGAAGGGATAACCACGTGGTTTCTCACATCTTTGTATGCTATTTTCAGTACATGATTATAATGCACGGTAGAGATCTAAGAGATTGACTAAAATTTGTGTTTGTTGTACAACTATCCTCTTCCATTTGGGTATAGAGACACAGCAAAGGGCACTGCAACAGAGTATTGTACTTCCAGATTCTTCTACCTCCCTAGTTTAATGCATTCTAGTATTTTCCCTAAATCAATTGTTCTATGTTGAGCATATTATCAGTTTCATTGGGGTTATCTTTACCCTCAATGGGCTAACGGGGTGTAGGGGGGCTGGTCTATAAGCATTAGTTTAAATTGTAAAGTCCTGACATTTTTTAAAATCCCATTTCAGCCTACCTGTGTCTGTGAGCTTTGTGCATTCTTACAACAGAATGCTACAGCATGTAGCAAAAAAGACAGGTAAAAATACAAAAAAAAAAATTGATTTAAAAACTAAAATCCAGTACACTGTCCTGTGTCCTTCCTTTTAGCGAGACCTTCACTTCCTCTCCTCCCCTCTCAGAATCAAGAATCCATTTTTACTCTAAATTTAAGGTACCCGCATGAACAATACTGATGAGGGGTTTTGTCTGGATGCAGCGCATGCTCCCCAGTTTCCACCGCCGTTGTTTTCAGCAAGCACAAAACACTGCCGAAGCACATGTAAATCACCGCGCTCTTGCCCAGTGGAACAGAATTTCAGCTCCCAATGCCAACAGTTGCCTACAGAAGGCATCTACATCTGGTCTGCCACATCCACGGCAGCAACCACAGGCACACGTCTTGCTTTGTTTGGAATTCATCGCTGCGCTGCAGCTGAGCCACAGATAGAAAAGCTCTGCGCCTCCGGGGTTAAACAGACAAATGTTTTCAGTCCTAACAACTTTTCCTTTTTTTTTTTTTTTTTTTTTTTAACGGGAAAGCAAAGCCATAACAATGTATGTAAGAGGTTTTATGTAAATCATTAAAGGCCTCCTGACTTAAATTGTTGTTAACGCCAAGAAGTTGCTTAATGTACGCTTGAGAGTGTGAAGGCAGAACAGATGAATAGTCTCACAAATCTTATTTGCTCAATTGGAAAAATGCAAAAATATTTGTTAAAAAAAAAAGAAAAAGAAAAAATCTGATTCCTGCTTAGTGCCATTCAAACTTAAAAGTCAAATTAATATTCATCACTCCTGGGTGCCTGATGGTTTTTACTGGAAGGCAGAAGGGGCAGATACAATCCGTAAATCAAATTTACTTTCAAATACACATACAATTCAATACTTACCTAGCCACTCGTTGAATTTTTTAACTTCACTAGGAAGTCCCAGCTCAGTAAAATCACCAGCATGTATTAACACATCTCCATATGGCATTTGGATTGGATCAGTTCTTGAATGAGTGTCAGAAATACAGACAAATCGAGTATATCCTGGAGGCTTGGGAGCATCATGGGGCACAGGATCAACCCTGTAAGAAATGTATCACAACAAGGTTATAAAGTACTTTACTGTCTACTTTGCAATTCTAATCCTAATTTTTACCTTTACAAAAGATCATACAATTTTCTAGATTTGCCTGATGGAAGGAATTGATTAGAACAAACCTAACACTAATGGGAGGTAGAAATTCTTGATGTTCACAACACAACATTTTCAGTATTTGTTGGATATATGGATTACTTTGAGGAGATTATGGAAAAGAGATTGAACTATGGCAGTAACTCTGAAGCAAATACAAATAAATCAAAGGCAATGCCAGTTTCAAAGCAACAGCATTATCCTGTTGCATTGTTTAAATGTGATTACATGGTACACAGGGAAAAGATTTATTTCAGATACATAAATACATTTAAATGCATTTTTCTAATTATAACTTTTTATGCGAGTTATATAATTCCAACAGATTTAATTAACACATTTTAGAGATATGTTTCAGTGTGCTAATGCAGAGCAAGATAAGAACTCCGTTGACAACAGCTGTAAATGTACGTTCAAGCCTGACTATTGTCAGGACAACTGTGGCAACTTTCTAGGCTTAATTATACTAAATGAAATCAGATGCTGTGAGGGGTGAGGTTGTATTGTTCAGAGCCCAATCTCAATACTCAGAACTGAGCAAAAGAAAAGATCAGCCCCAGTTTTATGAAACATAGTCATGACATAGAAGAGGAAATCAGAGAATACCTTTCTGCTACATGAGGTATACTCATTTTCAACTCATTCAATCTTTTTATCCTCAATCCATATTTCATCAGCATACATAGTAGCAAATGCATCTAACTATACCATATCTGCTATTCCAGTCAGGGAAATTCTGGTAACATAAACGCAAAAAGTATGAGATGCAAGAGTTATTTTTATGTCACTAGAAATGTGAGAGATACACAGAATTGTTATGAATTATTTCACTTTTTAAACTTCTATTCTGAAAGGACAAACAAAATTAGTTTTATTCACTGTCATAATATATAACACATATTTCCTATTCCTTGCTGGCTGTACTTCAATTCAGGCTCTTACTTTCATATAAATAAAACCAGAAAAAAGAAATCAGGGACCTTTGTTATTAATGCCACTATTCCCGAGTTTATTGGGTAAATTTCCAGAAGGCATGTGATTACTTGAAAGGCATAAAATAATCATCTTTGATCACAACCTCTTCTCTATGTCAAAGAATTCTACTGAATTTAAAGGCAGGGAAACTAAGGTGCTTGTGAGAATTTCACAAGACTAGAAAGCGACTCAAGAACAACATCTAAAACATTTCAACTTTGTTAAACATTAAAAAAAGAAGTTCTTAGCATTTTCTCCACTTTAGTAGGAAGTATATGAGTAAATTATCTCATAACTGTCTTTCTTATACCATTTTAGGAATAAAAACTGTTGTTTTCTTTTTAAAAGCCATTACATTAAGCATCAGGCAATCATGAGGGGCTTTATAGCCATTCTGGAGAAATGGCCTTTTAGTATGACTGCCTTGTAGCCATCCTTCTAAATTTCCACTTCCTGAGAAGTGCAGTGTGTGCAAAGGGTGCTGCATTTAGCTCATGGATTGCGTGGGAAATGAACTGGGATGGCTAGAGAGGGATGACTGGAAGATGGCCTTGGTCATCATTGGAACCTTCCAAGGTAAAACAATTAAGCACCCCTACAGCAAACTCCTGAATATTCCTCCCCCTGCCAGCAGCTCCCAAAGCGAGTTACATACTGTGTTAGTTAGCTAGGTTTGAATTATGCATACTATACTAGAATAAAATGAGGAATGTGGACAGATCTAAATTATGCTCCTTGAGTCTTTAGGAGAGCCCTTAAAGCACCTGAGGGTGTTTCTTCTTCCTCAGAAATCTCTTAAAGCCCAGGCCAGCAGTAAGTTGGATGTCAAGGAGTAGCATGTACTTTGCATGTTCCTTCTCTGAAGCTCAACAGAGAAACAACAGACTTACATACAGCAACCTAAGAAGCACACCATACATCTGCTTTTTCTTATAGTTTGGACAGGGTGGCTGAGACGTGTGGACAGCATTCTGCTGATTTTGGGGGAATTTATAACATCTACATGTGCACAAAGGGCCAGAGAATTTGCATAAAGGGTATCAATATATTGAACCAAATAAATTACAGGTTTTCATGCTGAAAAGTTAAGCACACACTGAGGCCATATATAAGTAAAAATATAGTCAAGTTTCACAAAGGTGCTTGAGTTATATTATTGGAAGTAATATCTGAAGGCTTGATCCCCGTATGCTTGTGTAACACCTTGCTCAACATCTGTCACAACACCACCCAGTGCACTGCTTGCAAAATGAGCAGGGGTACAAAGATCTGGTTAGTTTTGTGCAAAGGCTGAAAAGCAAAGTTAAAATCTCAGAGCAAAACTTCTTTTAGGGGTTGTTTTATACACAAGACTTCAGTGGAATATCACGAAGAAGCAAGACAGGAACTTCCTAGAAATGATGGAGGAACTTAAGGCACTGCCAGAAGTTACTGGCTGCCTTGTCAGTAGCAAATCGGTCATGACACCAGCACAGACATGACAAACACGGATGGGGCTACAAAAATGCTGTCAGCGTGTTCCAGACACTGAGACAACGCAAAACAACAGTGAGATCCAAGGAGGGGGTGCAAGACTGTATTCCAAGGGTGACAGTAGTTTAGCACAAGTTCACTTGTCAATAGGTCTGTGAAATCTGTTCATGACTGCCTGCAACATCACAAATCCGGGTATTTTGAAATATGTACAAAGACAAGGCAAAGCCCTCATTTCTCTAATATTAATAACAAAACATGCATGGGCTAAGATTTCACCCATCACAATGATGTGAATATAAGGTGCTTTTGTCACGCTTATATATACTTTTCCCTTTTTTTGTCCCTATTCTGTTCACTGCTAAGAGGCAAGAGCAATATTGTCAGTATTCAGAAACATTATTTGCATTTTCTGTAGCAGAAGAGAGTAGGTCAAATTGTGGTAGATGTTTCAATTGATCTCGCCTGTTCTCCTATTTGCACAAGCTTTTTCAGCAGTATTAATCATTCATAAGAGCATTCATTGCTAAACTCTTCTGAGGAACAATTTTCTGAGGCTAACTTGTTCTGAACTGCTTGCTTAGGTTCTGAATTCCTATCATGCAGTTGATGGTCTAAGTCCTCTGGTAATACGATTTGTTACTGGTGAGAAGCTTAAGCAGCATATTGCTGAGTTCCAAGGGGCTACTAATAAATTACTTATCCGCAGCCCAGTATTTTACTTGTAAAAATCATTTAGTTTTTAGGACTGGTGAACACATCCTTAAGTGCTCAGGAACTACGTGTATATTCACTTTCACAAAATGTAAAGAAAAAACACTTCATTAAAGTTCATTAAACTTAAAAAAATTAAATGATCTGCATTTGGCATTTTGATTTACAAGAAGTATTTCTGAACCCACATTTGTTTGTTTCTATTTTTGCTACCATTTGCCAGCTTTCTAAATAAAAGATGTTTCCCAGAGCTAACACTCAACTCATTTTATTGTTTGCATTTCAGTAGTACCTAAAAACCTCAAACACAGACTGTAAACCATACACTGCCCCAAAAAGTGTTAGTTCACCATCCAAACATATATGTTAGTCTTCCTTTAAAAAAAAAACAAAATACAATGCCTAATTTACGCCAAATAATTTATATAAAGTATCCCAGAATAGAGACTGAACACCCAATTCGTTGCTGAGTTTTTAACGGCAAAAATCGTGGCCTATGTTCAGAAATTATCAAATTATATTAAATACAAAAAAAAGGGAATGAAGTGACTATTTATTTATTCTTCATAAAGGAACTAAAGTTTTTGTTAAAAAACAAAAAACAGTCTTCTGATCTAAAGGGAAGACTGCTTCTCTCTTTAATAAACACAATAAAATGTTGCAGACATTTTTATTCCCTATAAAATTATTTTACAGTAGAATTTTATACTTAATTTATTTGTAATGGCTTAACCATTTTGTTCTTCCTTCTGGCTTTAAACGTTATGGCAGGTTTCATTTTGTAATTATAATTCTCCACTTTTTACATTACAAGTAAATCATTTAAAGCAGTTAATTTTACTGATGTTGTCATGATATTAGAAGTCAGAAACAAACACATTATCTTAATTACTCTTTAAGCACTTGGCATCTTCAGCACATCGCTGGTATGAAAGTGAGTTGTCGGATGGGTGCCCGCACTCTTTTATTTATTGATGTCATTTTTTCCTTCTATGTAGCTGCAATATAACTAATGAAACAATAGGAAAATACCTGTTGTGAACACAGGCTTGGCATTAAAACAGATATTTACATCAATAAGCAAGTGCACAACGGTAACAGTATTAAGACCGTGGAAAGTATCATCCTTGTAATTTTTTTTAATACCACCACATGTTGTTCGTTCCCCTTTTTAATACATAAATATCAAGTTAGGCCAGTGGAGTGATCTTTCTTCCATCCTTTAAAAATACTTACACTTTCCAAATGGACTGATTTTGTGTCGTTACAGTAATTAGTATTAGAAAAGCAGCAGAACAGCGTTCTTTGAATTCTTTTTGACTGGCCCATCAAACACCACATCGACAAGGCAATAACAATTCAGAAGTCTGTGTTAGAGCCGTAACAAAACTATAATACTTACATTTGCACATGCGGGGGCTGAAAACGTCCCTGGTTAATGTTGTAGAACGTGAAAGCCTGTGTGGGGTTGGAGCTGTACTCATCCACTTCAATTATGAGTCTGCTGTGCTGGTGCCTTCTAGCTGCCATAATGTGCGACTGGGCGAAGGCCATGCTTGCACCGAGGAGCTGCGCTGTCTCAGGCAATCATATCTGCTATCTTCCTATATCGACAGAAGAAGACCATGACATCTCCTTACCTAATCAGCACGCTCCCCCTTGGAAAACCTAAAAGCAGATTGAAGAGATGGAGCATAACTGTTCGACAGCTAATCTGTTTGGGATTTGCTTTATTTAATGTCAGATGAAGATTAAGCGGGGATATGGAGGCAGGAAGACATACGGCTTGACAAATTCATTACAAACCCTTCCAACTCAGCAGTTTGGTGAATATATTTGAGTTCGGGGTGGGAGGCAGGAGGGGAAGTAAACTTGCAAAGGAACACAGAGGATAACTTGTTCAAACAATCCAAACAGTTCAAAAACATAATACAAATCTAAAACACAAGGCCGCTACTCTTCAGAATGGTGTGTCAAGCTACAATGCTTTGCCAATACAATCATTTATCTTTTCTCTGGCTGCACTGCTGAATGTTTATAGATAGGCACCTTCAAAGGGAAAACAAACAAACAAACCTGACACAGAGCACCCACCAATAGATGACTAAAATGCAAGTTAGTTAAAAAGAATCAACTTAACCATTTCTTCAGAAAGTCTGTGCCATTTGTTATGGGGCGTATTGCGAGTGGTTTTTCTTTACATCCTAAGAAACTGGGCTTTGCATGCACATGTCAGTACTTGCTCTTGGTTTTTAGTATCACTGAGAGAACTTCCGATACAGACATGAGGAATTCGCTCCATCACACACATCCTCCCCTCACACGACACTGGCCCTAAATTCCAGATTCACTGGCAAAGAAAGTGACTTGAGGCCTAACACACAAATGAAATGTATTAAATATTAAAAAAAAAAAAGGTAAAAGCAATAGAGGTTTTATGTTTGGGAATAAATTTTCCCCAAAGGTTATACTAGTATAGAACAACAGCTCTGCAAACACGGTGAGAAAGTGAAGCCTACTGCAACGCAAAGAGTATCCCCTGGAAACATGAGAAAGCAAATTAAATGTGATTTTTACTCTTATTTCCCAGTTTTAATAAAAAATGGATTATAAGCAATAAGGTTGGGTATTTTTTCAGTATAATTTTGCATCCATTCTAAAAGTTGTCTAACTTAAATATTTACTTTCATACTAGCAAGTGCTCTTTTCGTCTGCCCAGTATAAATAATCTGCTTCAAAAGTAAATGCCTTTAATCAAAAACCACACTAGAATGCAGCAATTCACAACTACATGCAGTTTCTGGAAAGCAGAACAAGTTCGTGTAACCTTGCTGATATTTCTTACTGCCTTCTGATGGTACCAATAATGATAAATGAGGAAAATCTTCATAGTCACACAGATTTTTAAAGCTATTCATAGGTATGTAGGGCCAATTCAGTTCCAGTGGGAGGCACGCACCTAGGCACTTTAAAAAATCTGAGCTTCAGTCCTTTTCCTAACTACTAAAGATCTTAAGTGTTCCAAGAAGTGGTGGAGTATTTTTGTTTTGAGAAATCTTGTCCTTTATAAAATCAGAATGAGAGATGCAGATTGATGACAACTTGCTATCACTAAAACCTGCAGGAAAACAGTTGCAGGATAAAAGACCAGATTCCTTCATGCCCTCCCCTAAAAATGATTGGTAAGGAAATGCTGGATTAACAGCAAAGAAAATTTTGGATTTTAAACACTCTCCAATGCTGTGTTCAGGCTGCAAACAGACGAAGCAACAAAATGGAATGAGCTAGAGCACAGGGAAGGAAGGGAGCATGATCCTTGTAAGAATAATCGAGTACAAATTGCTGCATTTAGGAAATAAGAAATTAAGATGGCAGATGTGAGGAACCCTCCCTGAGGAGCCTCCTGCATAAAATGATGCATTTTTAAAGAAGTTCGTACAAGCAAGGTCAGACCCTTTATAGGGGGCAAGCTGTTCTGCGTGAACCTACTTTTGTTTGAAAGAAACTATTAGAACCGGTGACTTCTATAAATACTCTACAGTCTGATTAATAATTTGTGATTCTATGGCTCTACATGAGGCCATAAAACTACCTGAAGCAACTGCCTGTCTTTTATAATTCAAGGATTATGCCTATTTTACACACAACTGTACAGCGGTTACAAGGATTTAAGGCACTGCCCAATAAGATCTGGAATCTCCCATTGGGCTCAGTAAGTGCTTATTACAACAGCGAAGAACATGACTTTTGCCAGCCTGCTCTTTGGGTCCTGTCTTTTGTGACTTCTCTCAAGCGATACATCAAACCTCCTGCAGCAACTCCTCATGGAGTCAGGCATCCCAATATCCGCGTTCATGCTCTGCCTCCTCTTTCTGGTAAGTGGAAAACAGCACTTCCCAACACAAACTAACTCGGCCCTTTCGCAGTCCTTATCCTGCTGAGCTTGCCAACAGAAGCAAGCTCCAGCAAGGGCGCTGCTGCCGCACCACTTAGTGGCGAGGAGCCCTTGGAAGTGGAGAATCTCTCCTTGCACATGGCAGCGTGTGTGAATCACAGCGCTGGGCCAGCCTGCAAGGATGCCAGCCACAGGCATTCAGCAAGAAGTTCCCATATAAACATGTGGGAGACAGGAAGCCAACATGTCTCACTTGAAGTAGAGGAAAACAAAAAAAGGGGAGGGGAAGAAAAGATGCTGCAGCACTGCTGAGCCTTCTGCCAAATGACAGTCACACAATGTCAACCCTGGACACATAAAAAGCATCCAAGACAGGAGAAAAAAAAAAAAAAAAAAAAAAGACCCAGCTCCTGCCATAAAAAATAGAATAAATAGCAATCACATAAACAGTTCGTGCTAGACAAAAATCAGAATATTGTAACATACATAATCAGTAAGCATAATTCAGTAGGGAGTTTTATTCAAGCTCATTTCAAAAACATACACAGATGTCTTTGAACCTTACCTTTCAGTCTAGGGTTGCCTTCCTGCATAAGTGGTTGGCTCACTACTAACATTCTTGGTGTTCGACAGAACAAGCTGTCTTTCCAGCTTGACTGATAACCAGACTGACACCCATTATTATCCTCTTACTGTTTTCCTTCCCAATACTCCCCAAATTTATAACTTCTTCTCTTCTTGAAATAATCTGAAAATTCTTCTTTTCCCAAACCAGGGTGTGAAATGCAGCAGGGAAATAATTACCTGCTGCTATAGCATGCAAGTTTTAAAATTATATGCCCAACATTACCAACATAGAGCATTAAGTCTCAAATCCCCACAGCAACAACATGCTAACCACCCTCTTCCCCCAGACTTATGGAGCTGCGGGATGTCTGCCAGGGAAAAACAGAGAAATGTAAAAAGGACTGCAAGAACATGAATACTAAAATAAATACCACAAACCTGGCTGTTAGAATCACAGACTGAGCAAAAGCTATTAAATCAGCTAAGCCATCTTCTTACTGATCTCGGGAATGTTCTCTGTACATTATTTTTTCTGCTGCTTTCTCTAGTCTGTGTTCAAATGTCCACAGAGCCTTGATCCACAGTCCAAAGTATAAAACAGACACCTTTCCACTGTCCTCAACAGGCTTTGGATAATAAAAGGCCATAAAGTAGAAAGGCCATAAGAGATTATGCCATCTCGTCTCTGGAATTACTGAGTTAGGCAGGTGGCTGAACCCAGGCATATATTTAATTCCTCAAATAAATAATTGTACAGAGATTTCCTGACTTTTTTAGCCTAAAGATTCCCTTACTTAATTTTATCTCAAAGTCTTCTTGCAATGCTGCTATAATAATTTCCTTCTATTTTGCATGGATTTTCCAGCCTTTTTATGTATAGATTTTTTTTTCCATTTCAAGCCAGCATTTTACTTGAATCTCACTTCCTTGCTCCCAGATTCTGCTCTTTTCTGTCCATTCTTCAGTTTCCTCCCTTGCTCACTGTCTCTCACTGTGGCTACTCATCTCCACAGTGCCCTCCATCACCTACTCTTCATTTCCCCAGCCCAAGGACAATACTGAGAACTTTTGACAATGATTCCAGCAAAAGAAAATAAGCACCTAGACTTGAGAACACCACAGCTCAAGCAGATATCACCTAAAATAATGATTAAACCAAGACAAAATAATGGTAACAATGAGGATAATATAACAACACAAAGAAGCTACAAATTAAGAGAGGAAACTGCTAAGAAGATGCCTGTTGAGCAACAACCTTTGCAAGGCTGTAAAAAAAAATGAAGACAAGGTGCCTGACCTGCCTAGAGCCAAGGCACCATGGCAAGAATTGAAGAGCAATAGTTGCACAAGTAAATGTGAGGCAACAAGAGGAAAGAAGAGAAGGCTGGAACTAGATCAGCAGCAAAGATGCAGCTACAGAAAAGATGCGAGTTTTCACAAAGCCTGGTGAGCTGGGATTTGAGGATGCAACGGAGAAATGAAATGTAATAATAAAAAAGATGTTTTCATGCAGCTATAAATCATCAAAACCACATTTTTTTTTCAGGAAAAGCCCATGACAAAGCAGCAGTATAATACTTCAAAGGACTGTGTGAGAACCTATTACAGATGACATGGTCATACATTCACTTTTTGTGCAAACCACTGACACTGGTAACAAGAAGCCCTTCTCAGAGTTTGGTCAGGAGTTCTGGTCTTCCCCTGTACTGAGGAGAAACTGCTCTCTGCAACTTGTCAGTTCATCTTTTATAGGGAGAAGTAGATCCTTTCATTAAACGAACAAAAATGACACAGTGGTTTCTGCAGGAATGGTCCCAAATGTTATAGTAACATTCCTATAATCCCTAAGTTATCAAAAAATATGACATTTTTGTTTTAAATTCTCCCTCCCCCCAAAATATACTAGAACCACTAAAGCAAGTACTTGCTCTGATAAATAGGCTAAATCTCTAATGTCTTTTGGCTGTCTAAAATACACGTTTCACACTCCAGCTAGACACTCCAGCTAGGAACCAATCAATAGAATTAGTTTGCTATCTTCAGTTCTGCCATCAGGAAATGAACCCTGAAACCATCCTAAAAAGGCAATATTCTGCAGGAATGGATAAGCCAGGCAGATTGCTCTGCAGCGGAGAGCTTTTCCAAAGGGATACACTCTCCTCTTCCTCCCCTTCACTTTCTGAAAGAAACAGACTGCAAATCCTGGCAAAACACATCCACCGAGTCTTCCCTTAGCAGACTGCTTTGGATTCACTTGACAGCGAGGCATCTGAACGCACTTAACACACTTGTGGACTTCAAATGGAAAGCAGCATAATCAAATGTCATCGAGACGCTTCTAGATACTAAGGTTGATCATGCACACTTCTACTGATAGAATCATTAGGCTTTCCAAAGGAATACAATTTGTCATAGGCAGTGACATTTGCAATTGCATTTTAAAAAACAAACAAATAAAGCTACGGTTTATAGCACGGCACTTATAAGTCCACTTTTGCCAAAGCAAGTGCTCTATGTACCTGCAGTTAGTGTCAGCGGGAATGAGGATATTTGAATGATAATCTGTGGTGTCATTCAAGGTGTTTATCAATCACCCTTACAAACTTCACGGAGTTCTATGAATTTAGCAATCTACAAAAACCTGTTTGGAAACCTAACCCTACAGAAGCTGTGCAGCATTTGAGGTTGTTAGTTTTTCTAAATGTCAGTTTAGCTCTCACGAAACGTGCCAGGGTGACAGCCTTCAAGCCTGAAGCCCTCTATCCCCTGAACAGACAGAGCACACACAGAAGGCCTGGCACACACATTAGATCTCACATATTTCCCTGGGCTGCCTTTGTGTCTCAGACCTAATCTAGAGAAAACATTACTGAAGGGCAGCTCCAACTCCATATCCACACATTCTAAGAAATCACTGTTTTTAAGCAGTGAATAAATGTACAAATCAGAGTGAGGTTTGTAATGCAGATTCATCTCCACTGAAAACTGGAATGCACTCACCAATTCAGTCAGTGAGTGCCATGAGATGGCAAAATATATTGCACCATCTGCTTCACAGGGCACAACATGTAGCTATACTGCTATACGAGTTTGTCAAGTTGTTTTAAGGTCAAAAATCTGAATAAATGCCTCTTTACAGTGGCTCTTACCATGGATTTCACAATTCTCATCACGGAGTAAGAGCACATATGCTTCACGATGCTATAAAACCTCGTTTTCAAAAACCGCGGTTTCAGGTGTAACTGACAGAGACCTTAGGCAATCCGTTTCTCAGTTCCAGCTCTCCTTGATGGATGATACTTAAGTCTGCTTAAGGAAACCATATCAACACCATTAAGGGGGCCCTTTGGAGGATCTTTTTAAAACACACGTCTGAGGTTTTTTTTTGTTTTTTTTTTTTTGTGCTAAGGAATCTGATTTTGCTAACACTTATCAGTTAAATAATATTAAATGCTATGGCCATATCTTTTCTGTCAGGAAGTCTGAGCTATCCCCATTCACATACCTAAACCAGTGGGTATAATTTGTGTTATTTGTATGTCTACCAATCATACTGACTTCAATGGGAAGAAATGCAAGATCTATCTTCTTCTGTTTAGGAACTTCTATTTCTGCTATCAATGAACACTTCAGTGCCTCACCGAATGTATCACAGATTTGCTGCTGCAGATCTACAGGGTACTGAACAAGCTCTGTTTTGTAAAGTGAGAAAAAAATAGTGACTTAAATAAGACCTCTTATTTCTCTGTAATTAACAACAACAACATGCCCCAAGTTATTTCTCATCAAGCAAAAAAACACACATCGTTGTTCTCCCCTGCTGACTATAATAACTTGTCAAATATGTTATGACAAAATTCTTCGATAAAGTTAATCTTTTCTTCAAATTAGTTTTCCTGTGCTGCTCTCAAATATTATACATGTTTCTCTCGTTACTTTATTTATAAAAAACACCAACATACCAGTTGGCTTAAACTATAATAAAAGATTATACAGATATGGCAAGTAGTATAGAAGGGAAATGAGATAAATAAACTGTCTTTTAGAACTACGCCTTTACATTCCTTTCCATGGAGTTTCCTCAACAGATATATTTTACCTACTATATGCCAAAGTTCTGACCAGGCATCCAGAAAAATAGGCATCCAGATGAATGAATTTGGAAAAACTAAAATTATAATAATTTGCCTGTGAAATCTAACTCAGTATTGATTTAGAGCAGATACTACTAAGAAACCTTCCTAGCTAGTCCCATTTTAAACTATGATTGAATTAATTTTAAATTATTACTTAATTTTTAAATTATTTATTTCTATTTTCTCTCTTTTCCCAAAACTACAGTAACTGAATCTTTTCTTTATGGAGACATAATTTTATTTTGAATTATCATTAATGTCATTTTCTAAATTAAATCCTCATCCACATAAAAAAAAATGTTCATTTATTCAATTTAAAAAATAAACACAAACTAACAATATTTGTTTTTACCTTTCATTTTACAATACAACCAATATATTTTTGGATGTAAAACTGCAATACTTTAAGATGTACAAATACACTGGGCATTTTTCAAGGCTAAATGCTTTATTGCAATCCTACATATGATCTTGCCTGAATGTATAAAATATTGTATTTGGATAAAATATTTAAATTGATCCATTTTTCTTAGGTAAAACCAAGTCTTTTCCCTCAAAAATATACTGTTTGGCACAATATTACCTGTATTTATCTACAAATACCTGCAGAGGTAGCTAATCTATTTAAGCAATTACCTCTAGGGAAGGAAATTTAAAATAAATATCCAAAAGCCACAGAACTCATTCTTCACTCTAAAAAATTTACTTTCATCTCCAGCAGCATTTCAGAATCTGTTATGTTACTGCAAATCATGGGTATACATTTATACAAGAAAAATTACAAGTCCCAGAATGATAATACCCATTCTGGGGAAAAATAGCTAAAAATACAGGCTATGTGGAAAAAATACTAAAAATGGACATTCCAACAGGAGTAAATTAGAGTTGTGGTGATGTGACTGTGTATCTCAGTCAGCAATTTGGACCTGCCATTTGATTCAGCTCTTGAGTCCTTTAAAATGAATATTATTTAGTTAGAAAATGAATACATAAATGTGGAAATATTACATGTTTAAAAAATGAAGGCTTGATTTAAAATT